GATCTTATTGTAGATCTAAAAGGAATTATTCGGCATACCAAAAAAATGTAGGTCAGAAATAAATTTTTACTTTGGTTTATACTCTTGGATACTTTAAATAGGTGCCTAGCATTAGAAGAGGTGAATATTACTTTAAATCTTAAAGAGGGTATAGTTACAGATTTCTATTTGATTTATGTGTCACGTTTAGCCTTTGGTAGGTTACGCCCCCTACTGGTAAGCATTGGAAATGTAAATGAATAATTCATATTCACAAGCATAAAGGGAAAGTTTTGTCAAAGCATATACACAAAAAACTCAGAGGATAGCCTATTTTAAAGCTCATATTAAAGAGTTGGTTAGAAGTCTATAAGTCTTAGAAATGTCAAATGGGAAAGTGACTTAGTTATATTTAAGTTTAAAATAGGTTAGGTAAGAGACTGAAAAATGCTCAAAGGAAGCTAGCTTCTTTTAATGCTTGGGAAAGTTTGAATTTAAAGACTGAGACTGGAGGGTGTTATTCTTTAAAAGTGGAAAAGCCAATAGAAATGGCTTTGTAATACAAAATACTACATTTATTCCCTTAAGCACATTTAATTCTTTTCAAAGATCCAAGTTTTTGTTTATGTTTATTTAGTTTGATACAAATTTGTATAAGCACGTTGTTAAGTATATTAGCCTTACTTCGTAAACAGATTCCAGATCAAAAGGTTTCAGGTAAATAGAATTGTTAATTAAAATTAAATATCTATATAGAAAAAAAGTATATTTGATGACTGTTTACTTTGTGTTTTTTAAAAAAAAGGAAGAGAGGTTTAGTATTTTACAAGATTATTTAAAATAAGCCTACATAAGTTAAATTTATCTCTAAGACTATATATAGTTACGTTTATGAAAATAGCATAAAGTAAGCTGTTAATTGTCTGTTTTGTCAGTTATTTATGGATGGAAACCTTAGGCTTTCCTCCCCATTTTCCTAAGTTCTAAACCTAGAGTTTAAGAGGGAGAACACATGTACATGAACCTGGGCCTTTATTGCAGAATCAGGCACCCATTCAACAAGTACATGTTGATGCCATCTTGGTGCCAGGTCCTATTTTGTTACCAGGGCTACAGAGGTAAATACAACAAAATCCCTCTCCTGAAGAAATTCAAGTTCTAATAGAAGGGAAAGATAATAAAAGAAGATGTTGGGCAATATAATAGATCTGTGTTAGGGCACTCAGAACACAGAGGAGAGGTACCCAACCAATACCTTTCTTTTGTAATACTTCAGTGGTAAAACTTAAGACTGCCTTTTAGCATTTTATATTTATATTAATTATTAAACTCAATATGTTGTTCTCAGTTATACATGTAGATTAAGGTAAGTAATAAGCAAAATGTTTAACATGTAACATGCTTTGGAAGGGCATTTGTATGGATGTGTCTTTTAGGGAGATGAGGTGAGTGGAGCCATTATTTAAAATAGTGTGGAAATACTTATGTGAAGAATCTAAAAAACAAAACCAAGCTTACAGATACAGAGCACAGATTGGTGGTTGCCTGGGGGGAAATGAGTGAAGGAAGTTAGAAGGTGCAAACTTACAGTTATAAAATAAAGCATGGGGATGTGATGTGCAGTGTGGCAACTATGCGGTTAATAATACTGTTGTATATTTGAAAGTTGCTAAGAGTAAATCTTGAAAGTTCTCATCACAAGAAAAAGAATTGTGTAGCTCTGTTTGGTGATCATTTCACAGTATATACAGATAACAGTGCTGAACACCTGAAACTAGTAATGTTGTATGTCAGTTATACCTCAATAAGAAAATAGTATGCTGAAGACCTGCCTTGGAAAAAAGATTTAGCACTTTCCTGTCTTGCATCTTATCCTTAATTCCACTCATTCCTGTATGTTTGTGCTGTGCTGCTTTATTTTGTTTTAGTTTTGTTTCCTTTGGTTTTTAACGTTAAAAGCAACCTTGGAAGCTCTCTAATCTGTTTTTTTCAAAAATCAGCAAGGGATGTCAGAATCACCCATAGAATTCTTAGAAGTTCAACATATGCTTGGACCTCCCAGGCTCATTAGGAGTGGAGGTCAGGTATCTGTTTTGTTTTGTTTGTAGATGATTCTGATACATATTCTGTTGAAAACTAATACTCAGAATCAAACCTTTTAATAGAAAAATTCTGGCCTTGAGATAAAGATGTTACCTGTTCAGGGGTCTCATAGATAGTAAGTAGTACCAACTGGTTTCCATACTACTCATCAGTGATCTCTCACAAAACTTCAAAAGAAACTTCTTAAGGTAAACTTATTAGAACTAGGAGTTAAGGATATTTAGTTTTTGTTACTTTATTTCTTTATAGTGATAAGTATTAGTTTTCTATTTTGGGGTGTTTCCTTTTCTTGGATTGAAGGGCAGCACTGAAGAGTTTTTAAGCTGTGCTAATTTTTCAAATCTGTGGGTAGATTTAGCAGCATCAAAATACATTTGAAAACAGTTAACACCTTCTCCAGCTCGTATCATTAAAAACAGAAGAAAGCCACAATAAAAGTAACAAAAAGATTAAGGATCATTTCAGAGGTATGTAAGTACTAATTTGATTGTTCATGCAGAAAGTAAAAATACAGAACTTGTTTCATTTTATGCATTAATCAAGAATGCCCCTAAGCTGACCCTTAGGGAATATGATCCTGGAGAAAACTGCTACTATCGTCTCTAATTACCCCATAAAATGCAATAACTGACAGGTTTACACAGGGAAAATCTTATTTCATTCAAGTTCTGTATACTTGTCTATGAATCCAGAACCACAAAGTTGAACATATTAGCAGACTGAATAACCCTCCTTTAAAATGTGTGCCATCCAAAAATTCAGATGTCTTACACTTTTTAAGTTTTGATCATAGTTGATCAATATAGCCATGAAATATATTTTAAAGCAGCTGTGAGGTCCATACTTCAGAGACCTATTGCCCCTAGTTCTTTTGACTATTACAGTGGTGGTATAAAAAGGCTGTTAGAGGAGTCCCTTTTTAGTAAATTTGCTTGTAATTCTCAGCTTCTCTGGGGACGTGATGACTAATGAATGTTTAGTTCTTAGAATTGGAATTGAGGATTTACAGTTATTAGGTAGCAGTGTAATACTCAAATGCAGTGTGCCTGGAACTTTTATACATCATAATAGCAGTCTTAATTTGGGTTATATAATGTATATATGAATTTGAAAATCTTCAAGAAGTGGGTGTATATGAGAAATTAAAGATACGTTAGCAGATCTTCATCATATTTAGTCTTTGGGCCAATATTGTAAGAATATGTGTGAACATCTTGAATAGTTGAGTCTTAATGTTTTTACCCAGAGGTTCTCTGTTTCTTTTTTTCTTCCATTAAAGTTACTGTATTAGTAAAACTCCATGGTATGAAAATACTGTTCGTGTGCATCTTTCTGTTGGTGGACATTTAGTTTGTTTTTAGTTTTGTGCTAAAATAAAAACAAGCATAGTATTATAAAAATTGTTGAATGTTTCTCCCAATTTACATACATCATAGTTTCTCTAAGGGTATTATACCTAAGGGGAATTACTGGGTCATCAAGTGTGTGCATCTCCAAATTTCTTAGATAATGCCAAACTTTTCTGCCATGTGGTTATATCACTTTAGTCTCCACCAGAAATGTTAAGTTCCTGCTACACCTAAAGTTTTTGTCATTCTGGTGAGCATAAAAGGATATCCTGTTGATTTAAATTCGCATTTTTCTGATTATCAGTGAGGTTGATCATCTTTAGCTTTTTCTAAAACCATTCAGTTTACTTCTGTGAAATGTCTTTATTTCATGTCTTCATTTTTCTATCGTGTGGGTTGTCTTTTCTGATTTATAGAAGTTCCTTAAAAGTACTTTGGTTATCAATGCTTTGAATGTAATTGGTTTGCTTTTTGTAATTTTCTGCATCTAGATGTCAAAGATACCTTCCTGTTTTTGTCTACTAGTTGTAAGGATTTTAAACGTACATACAGAAGTTTAATCTACCTTAAATTGGCTTTGTTTTAAATATAAGATTTTATACTGGCAAGACACATTTCACTAGCTGTGTTCTTTTTCTTCATGAATTTTATGGCTATACTAGCCCTTAACCTTTTTCAAATAAGTTAATAGAATCAACTTGTCAAATGATGACAAAAATGCTATTGGGGTTTTCATCACAATTGCATTGGCTCTATATACATAATTTGCAATGACAGCTTTCAAATAATAATTTTCCATGCAAGTTTTATACTTTTTTAAAATTTTTTTTTGAATATATAGGGTATTATTGGTGAGGTTGCTATTTAAAAAGGATCCTTTTTAGTGCTAATAATTTTTAAATGCTACAAACAGAGCTAGGTGCTTTATATATTTAATTACAAAAGGAAAGTACGTGATCTGGAAACTCAGTTGTTAAGTATAAACATTCAGAGTCTCATTTATCTGCTCCCCTTAGCCCATTCTGGAGGTGCTCACCATGGTGCCAATCCTGATTTCTTTTCAAACCATTGTCATGTTTGGGAGGGTTGTTACTGTGGTCATAAACATTTAAATTAAGTCCAGGAGAATTGTATTATCCCTTTATCCTATTAGAAGCGTGTAGTTAATACGTAACTGTGTTTGAAACAGTATTGCCAGTAAACAGAACATGGTACTTTTAGAATCAGACACGAATATGGTTGAATCACTGCTTTATCAGGTTTTGTGATTTCAAGCAAGTTACATATTCTTGTATGAAATTGGGATATAAAAATGCCTACCTTATTATTCTAATCAGGCAAATATTTACTGAGAACTTTTCTCACCTATGAAATTGGGATATAAAAATGCCTACCTCGTTATTCTAATCAGGCAAATATTTACTGAGCCCCTTCTGTGCTACCTTGGTAAAATTAAATGGGGTCACTTGAATTAGGTGTTTGGCACGTGAAAGTTGACTTTTTGGTGTTGGTTCTGGTTTCCTCTATTCGAGTAATTTTTTTCAGTCTTGTTACCTCCTTTTTACTTAGAGTCAACACCAGGAGACAAATCTGTATCACATTCTTGCACAACTCCTTCCACATCTTCTGCCTCTGGACTGAATCCCACATCTGCACCTCCAACATCTGCTTCAGCAGTCCCTGTTTCTCCTGTTCCACAGTCACCAATACCTCCATTACTTCAGGACCCAAACCTTCTTAGACAGCTGCTTCCTGCTTTGCAAGCCACCCTGCAACTTAATAATTCTAATGTGGACATATCCAAAATAAATGAAGGTAAATTTTCATAGTAACAATTTTTTTAATTCATTTGCATTGTGCAGAATTCTGTGATTAGTGAAATCCCCAGCTTAGGAATGGTCTTTGTTTCATTTTGAAATTCACATTTGAGCTTCATTCTTTTACATTTATATCCCCCATTGTTTAAGGCCTTTGGTATTGTAATTGAGTTAGCAATACTTGGATTTTTCTGTATTTTTTTTAAGACTTGGCTTTGTACCTGGTAGTTACTGGAAATAAGCTGTTCTGTCTGCGTAATATGTATGGTAAATTTCTTTTAAGTTAAAGAGCATTTCCCAAAACTGATATAAAAACACTTGAATTCTAGCATATTTCAAAAAACCTTGTAAATCATTATTTGGAGTATTAAAAATAGGCTAATTACTCAAAGTAGGAATTCAGGTAGTTCCTTCTTAGAATACTTGAAAAAAAATTTGAGATGGGAGGTAATGGATAACATTTTTCTGTTTTTCCTAGTTAATTGCATTGTTAATTCCAACTTTGCTTTTCAGTATGCTACTAAATTACTTACGGAGCCACCTCAAAGAAGTCTGAATAAAAGTGCATGTAGTTTTAATTCACAAGCCATTCAAATAGTCCTAAGAGCATTGCAAAATTTTGACTTGTGTACATTGTCACATAATATATTTAAGAGTAGTGTTAAGTGGTTAAGTTCTTCCTTTATCTTAAAAATGGAGCTATTTCAGGCTAGTTGGTCAATAATTCTGGGGGTTTTTTGTACTTTTCTGCATTTTGGTTTTATTCTTTGAAGGTAAGTATGCCATTCTCCTCCATGATAGGTACATGTAAGTATGCCATTCTCCTACATGATAGGTACATGTTTTACTAGGGAAAGTGGGGCTTTTAAACAGTTTTTAAAGAAATGATAGCATAAGAAATGTCAATAATAAAAGATCTTGTGCTCTGAAAATACATGATGTTCTTAAATTACCTAGCTTTTCAATGTCTGTTTTTAAAAGGTTGTTGTTGCTGGGTTTGAGTGGTCAGCTTGTCTAATAAAGCATTTGCATGAAATAGCTACCATTTATTCAGTTAATTCCATGTAACCCAAGCCCTTTTAGGTATCAGTGAATAGGTTTCAGGTATAATCAGAAGTTACAGGGGGTTCCTGGGTGGCTCAGTCATTGGGCATCTGCCTTCGGCTCAGGTCATGATCCCAGAGTGCTGCAGTTGAGTCCCACATCGGGCTCCCTGCTCAGCCATTTTATTACTCTTATCTTCTAGATTTCTGTTTTGAGAGTTCTAGTTTGAAATACTGCAGTTTTCCCTGGGGGTGTTTTGAGTTTTCAGGTTGTTACTAATGCCATAATATGCTACTCTTGTGTTTTTATCTTAATTTAAGATATGTTTTTAGTTCTTACAGCAGCTGTGACACAAGCCTCATTGCAGTCTATAATTCATAAGTTTCTTACTGCTGGACCATCTGCTTTCAACATAACTTCTTTGATTTCTCAAGCTGCTCAGCTCTCTACACAAGGTATTCATTTTCTTAGGTATCGCTAGAATTATATATTGATTGGAGGGGGAGTCATAGCAAATTTTTTTTTAGTCTTTGAAGAGATAAGCTATAATGATTTGATGTTTGGTTTTTTTTTTTAACACCAGTATTTACAGTATTTTTTTTTTTTTGAGATGAGGCAAGCATTGACATTTATCTTGCAGTATTGCCATTAAATATATATTTAATTCAGAATTTGTCAGTGAAATAGTTTATTCCATAAACTGATATGTCCTCAATCTTTGGGAAACATTGAATATATTTTAAGAGTTGAAGTTTGGTTCAGGCTTGATGTTTGGTAGTTTTTGACCAGAGGATACAGAAATGCTCAAGTCCTTTCTTAAATTAGCTATTTTCTCTCTTTCTTTGAAAGCATCCAATGGAAACAGACATACATGGGAACAAAGGAGAAATGAAAGGGTCATTTGGACTTGTCCCCCAACCCCAGTTCAGAAAACTGATAAACTTAGCCAGGAACACTTGTTCTAAAATTGAAATAAATAAGAGTGGTGAGGATGCCTTCCATGTGAGAATAGGTTCAGGCTTACCTTCTTGCTTCAGCCTAAGAAAGGGGTTAGGGGAGGCACACATTGGGTGTGCTTGGTTCTGATCCACAGCTCATTTAGTCTGTGTGGCCCCAGTGAGTATTTCAGATTCTGACTTGCTCAGATAAGTGTTCTCTTCAGGGTTCAGGCGGCATGTGGAGAGATGGAAAGACTTTTGCACATATATTACAGAAATTTTGGGTTATTTGAAATTAATTGCTTCACTTTTTCACAGCCCAGCCATCTAATCAGTCTCCAATGTCTTTAACTTCTGATGCGTCATCCCCAAGATCGTATGTGTCTCCAAGAATAAGCACACCTCAAACTAACACAGTCCCTATCAAACCTTTGATTAGTACTCCTCCTGTTTCATCACAGCCAAAGGTACGTTTCCTTTGAGGGAAATTTGGAAAAGAAAGCACTCACTTTTGGAAAAACAAGCTTAATGTTTTAGAATCTGTATTGTAGAAAAAGCCCTTTTCGAGAACATAGTAGTGGTGGAATGAATGATGGGTGAGAATAGATGCAGGTTAGATTCTCAGTAAATTGAGAGGGGCTAGAGGAGGGAATTGCATCTGTCTGCCACTTATTATTATTATTATTATTAAAGATTATATTTATTTGAGAGCGAGAGAGAGAGAGAAAGCAGAGCAGGGTGGGGGGGTGGTAGAGGGACAAGCAGACTCCCCACTGAGCCAGGAGCCAGACGGGGGGCTGGATCCCAGGACCCTGAGATCATGACCTGAGCCAAAGTCAGATACTTAACCGACTGAGCCACCCAGGTGTCCCGTCATCTGTGCTACTTTTACATGCTGATTGTTTTCTCTTACTGGCTTTGGGATTTGTGACATGGAGAGTGGGATAAAGAAGGGTATACTAATTGTCTTACTATTTGTAGAATTTTTTAGCTCTAAAAGATAGGAGAGAACAGGTTTTCCAGGGGCTTTTCCTCCCATACTTTTATTTTAGAAATGAGTCCGTTTCTGTGCTAAGAGCTTTATAGGTATTACATTTAACTTCACATCATGAGAATCAACTACTGTTTGCTTCATTTAATAGATAAGAAAATGAAGCCTGCAGTTAAATCTAGTTTTTGTGGTGGACTCAGGATTTGAGGCCTCCGTCTTCCTGAACACAGAACCCATTTTACTAAGCTGTACTTACCTGTGTTTATCCAAGCAAAATCTTGCATGGATGGCTCCCCAGAGCACAATTCAAAATTGTTGGTCTGTTCTTACTGGACTATAAACAGGACCTTAACAATGCTGCACTCAGATTTTGTACTACATCATTTGAGTCTTGCCCACAAATTCGTAAGCAAATCCCAGTTACACTCATTCTTTGCTCTGTATACTACAAGCAAAAACATTAAAAGATTTGGAAGTTAGTATATGCAAGTTGCAATTGTTTTTTTAATTGTAAATTTAGGAAATTCTTTTTAATAAAAAGTGGGCTATTTAAATCTTTTATGCCAAAGAATTTTTTTTTAAGATTTTATTTTTAAGCAGTCTCTACTCAGTGTGGGGCTCGAACTCACAACCCTGAAATCAAGAGTCGAATGCTCTACCTACTCAGCCAGCCAGGCATCCTGCCAGAAATTTTATATTGAAATAAAATCATACACAGAAGCCTTAAAATAAAAATGCATTGAAACATAACTTGAAATTGATGGTAGGCCAGCTTTTAGGTCTTCCTGTTGGCTCATCCCTTCCCTATTTAAGTCATTTACCTAAGCATGTTTTAGGGTCAATCTGGATTGGTTTTTTTTTTTTTTAATTCTGTGTTAAACGTATTAGTTTATTACACAATTTCTTACTGTTTGCCTGCATTTTGATGGGAGAAGAATAAAAATGTGAGTTTCAGCAATAGAAACCTTATTACTAGAGCTTAAAAACTCATCCTCGGGGTGGTATCTTAAGAGTACAATTAAATGATGACTAAAAGTGAAGTGGTAATGTTAGTTTTACAGTTATTTATAAAATTAGCATTTCAAATCCCTTAAGCATATGGCTGTCAATTTTTTGCATATGAAAATTTTTCCAAGTTTTTTTTTTTGGTAAAGCGGGCATTCAGTGATACGATGTAGACCTTAATAAAAATATTCTTTATATAAGAACATGTTCTTTTATGTTCAGAAGTAAAAAAAAAAAAAAAATCCAGAGTTTTTGGGAAGAATATTAATTTAAAAAAATGAAAAAATGAAGGGGCACCTGGGTGGCTCAGTTGATCAAGCATCTGCCTTCAGCTCAGGTCATGACCTCAGGGTCTTGGAATTGAGCTCAGCAGGGAGTCTGCTTCTCTCTGCCCACCCCCGCCATGTTCTCTCTCTCTCTCTCTCAAATCTTTAAAAAAAAAAATTCTAAAAACTGCTACTGGAGGATATGACTTATGGCTCTCTGCCTTAATTTGGGGCTTATATTTAAAACTACTTGTTTTCTCTCTCTGTGGCATCTAAATATATATAGTATATATATCCCCACTTGATAATCATGGACCTCTTGTTCCACCTTTGTAGGGTACCATCTCTTTGAAGACCACTCCAGTTGAATTTTGTATGGCCTGTAGCTCATTCTCTAATAACCAGTCTATACATTCTCTGCATTATGTGGTTGAAATTTGAGCAGCTGTATTTTTAGGATGTGGTAACATTAGTTTTTATTGATATAAAAGTAACAGTAAATCAAAAGAGGTATTTTGGTGTATTGGAAAGAAAACTGGGCTCAACATTAGAAGTAGTTTCTTGTGCTGTTCTGCTGCTAAGAAAGTAATCTTTATGGCCTTGGGCCATTTTATGAAGAAATTAGATCTTAGTCTCAAAACTAGACTCTCTTCTAACTACATGAACTTCATTTGATTCTAATTCTTTAAATCTCTAGATTTTTTAGAGTTTAAGATTATCCAGCTAGATTTGGAGGTGTGTGTGGATTTGGGAACTTAAATGACCATGATTTACATAATCAGTAGTCTATATCACTAATGTTAATTTTATTATGAAACAATTAGGACAACTCATGTTATCTTAAAAAATTACTAAAGAATAAAAGTGCTCTGGTGAGCGCTGTGAATTGTCTAAGACTGATGAATCACAGACCTGTACCCCTGAAACAAATAATATGTTAATTTAAAAACATTAAAAGCAAAAAGAAATTACTAAGGAATAGAAATAATAGGGACTTTTCATTGGTAGTACTTTTGCTTTTATCTAGTTTCCATGGTATTTATCTATGTGATAGAAGCCTATCTCACCAGATTTTGACATTTCAGGTTAGTACTCCAGTAGTTAAGCAAGGGCCGGTTTCACAATCGGCCACGCAACAGCCTGTAACTGCTGACAAGCAGCAAGGTCATGAACCTGTCTCTCCTCGAAGTCTTCAGCGCTCAAAGTAAGTTGATATGTGTTGAAACATTTTTTTCCTTAATATTGCATGCTGCATTGTTTGAATATTATAAAAATATATGTATAATAGAATGTGATCTTGGAAGAATCCATGGATAGCCCAAGTTTTATGTATTAAAAGACTTACAAAGGCAAATCTTATCTACAAGTAGGTTGTTGTCTCTAGTAGGGAAGCCAGGTTATTTTTGAAGAAAGTGATTCTTTAGAATTTTACTTAGTAGAATGTGATAGGAGTAATATGTGATGCTTGTACAAAGAGGGCACCTGATTCTGTAATACTTCACTTGTTGGAAATGACCTCATTTTTAACCTCCTCATAGCAGCTTTAGATTTGAGTGTATTGATGAAGCCAAAAATGTTAAATTTAAAACATAGGCCGATATTTCCCAACTGGTATGTGTCAGGTTTTCCTAATAGCTTCAGCTCTGACCCCTGTGTGGATTGCTTGTCAGATAGGGCTGTATTGTGTTGTCACGTTTCTTTGTTAATTAACAAATACAACTTTAAAATGATTTTCATTTGATTGATTTTCCTATATTTATTTCTTGCTATGAGGTGGCAAAATAATTCAACTGTTGTTTTTATTGTTTTCTAAACAAGCATTTCAGAACTTATACATCCAAATGAGAGTTGTTCCCTTCAAAATAATCACCTTGGGAAGCTGTCTACTTACTCCAGCAATGTTGCCATTGCTCAGAACATTTTTGGGAAATTCTTCTTTTAAATTGTCTTTAGAGGCTGCAGTATTATTTTAAATATCCTCAGTGTTGAAAACTCTTCATCCTTTGGGAGATTTAGTTTTTGGAAATAACTGAAATTCATTCAGAGCCAAGTCTGGTGAAGCAGGTAGGAAATCAACTTGGGTGATTAAGTTTTTAGTTCTCACCACCATATCCCCAAACCCTAGCCCAAACCATTCAGTTTTAGAAGAAGGCAACCAGTCTCAGAGTGTTACATTTTTGGTCTTATTTTGCCACTAAACTCATTCATTGCTGTCCAATAAAATGCCTGTATTTTGCTTCACGTTATCTACCCTCTGATTCAATACTTAAACAAAGGCAATAGATTTTTTCCCCTCATCTACATGTATTTAAGATAGACTGTTCAGTTGTGCCTTATATTTACAACTGTTAAAATGTGACCATTTCTTAGTTACATTCTTACTAGTGTTTCTGGTATACAAAATCAACAGGTCCTGCTGTGGAATTTGGAAAGCACTATTAGTTTAAATTTAACTGACATTAGTGTTACTAAAAGGGCTCTTTTCCCCCCAAAAGTGTGTTAGAGGAATATATGATATAAATACACTTTGGATTTTAAATTCTGTTTATTTGATATTAATATAACAAATTTTTCTTAGGAATTTGGATATCTTTAATTTAATAGAAGGTATTGACAATTTCTAGGATACCTACTTTTTAAAACATAGTGCACATTCAATTCTGTTTTCTCTTCCAGTAGCCAGAGAAGTCCATCGCCTGGTCCAAATCATACTTCTAGTAGTAATGCATCAAATGCAACAGTTGTACCACAGAATTCATCTGCCCGACCTACATGTTCATTAACACCTACGCTAGCAGCACACTTTAATGAAAATCTCATAAAACATGTTCAAGGATGGCCTGCAGATCATGCAGAGAAGCAGGTATGTTACATGACTCACAGCAGATGTTTTACGTGTGGATGAGAGACGAAATATAACTTCTACTTCTAGAAAATCTAATCTAGGTCACTGAATTTAAGCTACACTTGAAATAACTAATTTCTAATTAGATTGCTTATAGTTACTCTATGTAAATACTTATTTTAAGGTATTTATGAGATGATAATTTATGGTTTCACATAAAATATTTTAGCATAATTATTGTAGCTACCATTATCAAATACTCAGCATTTAGCACAGTGCTGAGTGCTTAATTTTTTCCACTTCTCAAAACTGTTAACCAGGACAGATAATGAGTTCTCCCATTTTACCGATGAGGCCCTTAGGACCAAATAAATTACATATCAAGGTCACCCAGTTAAAACAGTGATGGGGCTCAGAGCCAGTGTGCTTTTTCCACTCAGCCAGCCGCTCTCATAGTTTTAGAACTTCTTCATACGACTACTCTTATATCTCTCCAGTAGACTAGCAACTAGAAGTTAGAAAACAGTTTTGCTTTGGAATGAGGGGCCTTTGGACCTTCTAATTAACTGCCATTGGCTTCTTCTCTCTTTTAGCAGTTTACTGTCTGAAATTTTCTCTTAAGTTCACAGAGATAATGTTATGTATCTTAACGACCCAAGAATACAGTGAAGGCTCTTTTATCAGTGTTACTCCTGAACTTTACTCTGGCTGACTCAGCATCTTTTATTAACCACAAATCATAAGTTCTTCTATCCTAGTGCTATGCAGTACTGAAATTGGAAATACTATTTTCTCCAGAAGTTGAAGGGAGAAATTTTGAAAAGTACCTTCCACCATTGGAGACAGTTTTTTTGGTTTTTGTTTTGGCTTTTTTTTTTTAAGAAAATCATTTTCCCTCTTAGGATTCACTATCATTTTTGTGGATTTAAAGGAGAAGAATTATTCTGTAATCTTGGTATAAAGTTGTACTCAGAAATTTAATGTTTGTTTTTTTGTATGTGATTGTGATTTATATTTTATGTGATCTTTATTTATCTAACTATAGGCATCGAGATTGCGAGAAGAAGCCCATAATATGGGAAGTGTTCACATGTCAGAAATTTGTACTGAATTAAAAAATTTAAGATCTTTAGTCCGAGTATGTGAAATTCAAGCAACTTTGCGAGAGCAAAGGTAAGTTTTTCACAGACAAAGTTTTTGTCTTAGCATTATAGATCTTAAATCAGACTGAAGAATATAAATCAAATTTCATTTCTGAATGTAAAGTTCTCTTTATGTCATGTTCCATAACACTGTAACTGCATTACAAAATATGTATATATTTTAGAGTTGGGGGCAGGGGGAGAGAATCTTCAAGCAGACTCGCTGCTGAGTGCGGAGCCTGACACGGGGCTCTTGTCTCAAGACCGATGAGATCATGACCTGAGCCGAAACCAAGAGTCGGATGCTCAACCGACTAAGCCACCCAGGCACCCCACACTATGACTGCATTTTTATAATTTAACTAATATTCCTGGTAAATGATAATGGCATCTAGATTTTAGTTCTCTAACGCATGGTAAATGCTTCATTAGACTTTATTCTTAAAACTCTCTAAGGTACAGTAATACTTAAAAAGTGAAATGTTAGAACACTGTATGTTAACTATATTGTAATCTTTTAAAAAATAAGAATATTTTTTAAAAAATTGTTGGTAGTCCTGTATTGCTGAGCATACTTGTTTCAGTTGAAATTTCAAATCACTATTTACATTGTCTTTGGATCACCTATAGATCCCTTAGAAATTTAGTTGTCTAGCAAGTATATCTATTTTCTGAATTGTTTTCACCTAAACTCTTAACTGTCTCACGCTTCTTAGTCTAGTATCCTACTCAAGTAAGGCTATCTACATCCCAGTAAATAGTATAGATACTTTTTAAATGCATCTTACAAAATCAAGGACAAACTTTTAATGGCCTCTCACATCCTGTCTATATAAGTCACTGGGTCACAAGTAGAGTTAGTCTTAACATGAAACCACAAATATTTAATAAATACCAAGTTGGAATTTATAGTAAACTTGGAAAAGTAAGTTTTTACCTAATCTTTCAATTACTAAACTGTCTGGAGTTACATTGTGAATATCAACTGGGATTTGTTTACTCTCGGATTGCTCTGAAAATACTTCAGACATGCATGAAACTTGACAACATTTTGGCTTAATAAGACAGTTGATTTGACTTTTAGGAAATTATTTGCAGCCTCAACTATTGACACAGTGTACACTGGTAAATACCAAGCCACTTTATGATTATGCCTAATTCACTGGTACAGGCAGTAAGTATCATACTTTACAGAAGAGAGAGGTCAGAAGGGGAACAGTTTTATGAAGTTCATGGAAATCTAGTTTTAAATATGCATGTCAGTTGGACTTTGACTCAGCTCTATTTTTCTGAGCCTATGTTTATATTGAGAATTGTTCTTCAATATGATTAAGCCTCTTGCACCTAGTTAATTCTAGGCTTACTCTGTTGTGGCCTAGAAAACATATGCAATATAAGTTTGTCTCATATTTAATATCTGCTGCTGTGTCTGTGTGTGTGTCTGTCATACAGCAAACAAACCACATTTTAAATCTTCATAGTCAGATTATTGAGAAATTGTGAGAAAACTAGGAAACATTCTAACTTTTGTTGTCCTAATTCTTTAATACATCATACATTCATTGGTCATTTTAACTCTAGGCTATGCCATATTTATTCATTTTTAAAGATTTAATTATTTGGGGGGCGCAGAGAGAGGGAGAGAGAATTTCAAGCAGGCTCCCTGCTGTGCACAAGAGCCCTCTGGGCATTGATCTCACGACCCTGAGATCAGGACCTGGGCTGAAACCAAGAGTCAGGACACCTAACTGACTGAGCCACCCAGGTGCCCTTAGATTAATCCATTTTTAATTACTTAGTTTTAATTGTAGTTTACTCATTTTATCTTTTTAAAGATATTTTTGTAGTTAAAGTTTTGTTTGGTTTTTCTGTCACATTTATATGAACCACACAAGTTCTAATGCCTTCTTTTATTTTTCAGGATACTATTTTTGAGACAACAAATTAAAGAACTCGAAAAGCTAAAAAATCAGAATTCCTTCATGGTGTGAAGATGTGAATAATTGCACATGGTTTTGCATACAGGAACTGTAAATCTTATTGCCCAATCTTAACATTTTTGAGCTGCATTTAAGTAGACTTTGGACCGTTAAGCTGGGCAAAGGAAATGACAAGGGGACGGGGTCTGTGAGAGTCAATTCAGGGGAAAGATACAAGATTGATTTGTAAAACCCTTGAAATGTAGATTTCTTGTAGATGTATTCTTCACGTTGTAAATATGTTTTGTAGAGTGAAGCCATGGGAAGCCATGTGTAACAGAGCTTAGACATCCAAAACTAATCAATGCTGAGGTGGCTAAATACCTAGCCTTTTACATGTAAACCTGTCTGCAAAATTAGCTTTTTTAAAAAAAAAATTTGGGGGGTTAATTTATCATTCAGAAATCTTGCATTTTCAAAAATTCAGTGCAAGCGCCAGGCGATCTGTGTCTAAGGATACGATTTTTGAACCATATGGGCAGTGTACAAAATATCATGAAACAACTGTTTCCACACTTGCACCTGATCAAGAGCAGTGCTTCTCCATTTGTTTTGCAGAGAAATGTTTTTCATTTCCCATGTGTTCCATTTCCCTCTGAAATCCTTGATCTGATTTTATCCATTTTTTTAAGGCTCCTCTTTTTCTCCTTTCTTAAGGCACTGTTGCTATGGCACTTTTCTATAACCTTTTCATTCCTGTGTACAGTAGCTTAAAATTGCAGTGATTGAGCATAACCCACTTGTTTGTATAAATTATTGAAATCCATTTGCACCCTGTAAGAATGGACTTAAAGTACTGCTGGGCATGTGTGCTGAAAGTACATTGATTGCTCAAATATAAGGAAATGGCCCAATGAACATGGTTGTGGGAGGGGAAAGAGGAAACAAAGCTAGTCAGATGTGAATTGTATCTGTTGTAATAAACATGTTAAAACAAACAAAAAATTGTTATTTTTCTTTTCCTTCGGTCAATGCATATTAGAATTTGAACTACCTGGGGATTCTTTATCAGAACTATTCTTGTTGAATATTTATACTTAATTGAAATAATTCCTTAAGGGAGGTTTTGTTTAAAGCATATTAAGGGAATTGTGTATAAGATATTTAATGAAATATGAAATTCAACAAGAATGATTAAGTCATTTCCCAAGTGGTTGTCATTTGTTATAAACCCTGGTTTAACCTGTCTTGCTATTATGACATTTCATTTTGAAGGATGTTTGTGTTGTAGCTAACTGTTCAAGTCTGGTGCTGACTGCTGTTCTTAGCCATCACAAAACGCTAAATTTGTGTAATTGGAGCTTCCTTCTGTTATCTGGAAATGGTGGGAAAGCTCAGCTTTGTATATTGTTTCCTAAAGTATATTAAAATAAAAAAAGAAACTATTGCTACTATAAAATTACCTTGGCTTTTTTTTTCTTTTCTAAAATATTGGTCACATGGCCTTAGCATGACACTGCCAGTATTGTATCAAATCACAAGGGTTTCTTTATGCAGAAAATTTAATTTTAATTTCAAAATCTTACCTGATCTAGAGACTTTTTTTTTTCCTGTTGAAGCAGATGTATTTATGTGCTTTCAGAACTGCCAGCACCAAGGGCTTACTTTGTGATGTTAGACGTTAATGTTACTGGATTTTTGGATATGAAAATTCCAAAATTGCTCTTGTGCTTTAAGCATATTTAAAGTATAGATGATAATGCTCAGACCTTTCAATAAACTTTAAAAAGTAAAATGTAAGTGATAGTATGAATGATACTTTCTACAATACAAAAAATGTTCCAGTGTAATTAAGAGGAATTAAAATCTTATCCTGGAAACTGGGTTTTTTTTTTTTTAATTGTAACTTGAGCATACTTCTAAAATGTAAGAAAAGACAAATGTCAAATCATATCATGAAATGTTCATACCTGTAAGATTGTTAACATTTGCTGGGCTTGATTAGTGCATGTAAATGAAACTCCAAAGATCAATGTTAAGCTAGAACTCTCACTGATGGAGTCCTGTATCTTTCCTGGAAAGAAGTGAGCAATTGTGATGTAGTAGGCAAATGTTTCCTGATCAGATGGCAACTTGACTTGTGATTTAAGGTAAATTTGAATTTTATTTGCTAATAGTTTATTGATCTGTGTCACCTTATTCCTTTGCTTTAAAAATTGTTTACATCCCTCAATGAGTTGCTCACATATATATAGAAGATGCCTAATATGATATTTCTTGGTGAATTTTTAAACAAAATTTTTGTGGAAATATTTTTACAATATTTGATTCACTTATTATTCTGTAGTAAATTATTTTAAGTATTGCACTTTAATACATTGTGTCCAGCTACTAACCTTGAGATAACCAGGGAATATTTATTAGATAGGCATAATATCCAAGAATATTCTTTATATAGTTGGCCTGTTGCCATGGCTTTGAACATGTATCCCGTTTTGATTTGCACCATGATTCAGATAATTTGGAAATAGAAATACAAAGAGCCCCTAGGAAACCTCAGGGTTTTTATTTTTAAAAGGACATTAGTAGTCTTATATTCAAACCTTAAAAACTGATACTGTAATAAAATGTATTTTGTGAAGGTGGGTCTATTAGAAAGTCTTTCCTCTTAGGAACCAGCTTTCCTACCTTTTTTTCCTTTATTTTCTGTTTAACTAGTTTGACTAACTTTTAATTTTAAAACTTGGACTATAACTCCAGATTTTAAGCACACTGAAAAACTCCATGCTTCAACTCTTCTTAAAGACATGATGCTGCTTTTAATAGCCCAGATGTGAATGGTTTTATCTTCTAAGTTTTATATGTTTCACACTCATAAAACCTTGGAAAGGAGGTGCTTAAAACTTTGCAAAGATGAATTGTTACCCCATTTCAAACAATCTATTGTTGAAACCCAACTAGCTGTAAGGGATTATTTCAAGGGGGGGCGGGTGTCATGAAGTAATTTACTCTGCAAACTGGAACTACTGTAGTTCAGGACTTAAAGCTACTGTATTTAGATGTGGGGTTTGAATATACGGATTTCTTTTCAATACCTGTAAATATGGCTATATTCTTGTATTTGTACTGGAGTGTACAAAATGACACTTAAAAGTAATAAATATGTTTTGACTATATTGTGCAGTTATTTCAGAACAGTCTTTTGAAAGTCTTAGAATGCATAATTTGCATTTGAGTAAGAAAATGCCAAATTACTGCTAAAATTTTAGTGTTTCAAAAGTTTCAACATAATTTCTTTGCACTATTTTAATGAAAATTTTGGCTTAAAGATCTTATCTTCAGATTCTCCTCTAATTTGCTGTACCCCTTTTTCCTGATCTCTGAATTTTGGGAGTGCCCTCAAGTGGTTTGCCTAGGTGATCTCATCCAGGCCCTTGGCTATAAGAATCCTCACTCTTAGGTCAGTTTCATCCAGATTGTCTTTATTAAACTCTTTCTTGAGCTCTGAACGGGGGTCAGTTTAGATACTTGCCTTAACATGGCAAATTCTCTAAAAAGAACTCTTGTACTTAAGACTTTATTCTCCAGTGTCCCCATTTCCAGTAACTGACACCATCATTCCCCATTGCTTGAGACCCAAACAGAGGAGGCATCCTTTATTTCTCTAACACTCTATAATCCATCATCAAGACCTACAAGCTCTCTCCAAGATGTATTTTGGATCTGAGAGCTCACTATCTCTGTTTACCACTCTATTTCAATCCACAATCATCTTATGAACCAGACTACTGCCACAACCTCCTAACCTTTCTCTTTGCTTGTCACCACCACCGCACATGCCAGTCTGTTCTCCAGACTGTTCTCATACCAGAGTGGAAGAAAAAAAAAGTCCTTCTGTTCATAATCTTAAATAAAAATCAATGATTTCACATAAAACAAAATTGAAATCTCTCACTGTGGCTTGTGTTCAAGCCCCTGCATACTACCACAGTCTTATCCACTAGATTCTCCCTCACTCACTGCAATCTCACCTCAGGACTTTTATATTTTCTGTCTGGAAAATTCTGTTTTTAGAGTTGCAGAGGTAGCTGCCCACTCAGGCTCTTTTCAAAGGACACCTCAAAGAAGCCTGTTCTGACCTCCCATCTAAAAGAACCCGTCAGTCTTCCTTCACTCGTTTTCTTCAAAAGAGTGGTATCTGATACATAGTAAGTACTCCAGATATATATGTTGAATGAATCAAGAGAAGGGGCTATGGAAACAATTCAAAATTTGTAAAGGTTATTGATACTTTTTTCTTTTGACTTGGTTCTTTCCTTGGGAGATAGGAAAGAAACAGCAACTAGTTTCTTGGTTTTTGGGTTTGGTTTTTGTTTTTGTTTTTAAGAAATTACTGCAATTTACTAATGGTTACCAAAGCCTAGGTCCAAACCTGTTTTATTACCATTACGAAGTGTGGTTTCTCTAAGCAATTTCATCAACTGAACCAGTACTAATTAGAGTGCTTTTACGGTAGGATGCTTTGATAGGCCCATTTGGTTCAGATGATGCCTTCACATCCAAATCAGACCCTTCTGACTTTTTAGGACGGGTATAAGGCAAGAAACATTCAAGTCAACATTCTAAGATGTGTCACTAATAGAACATCTGCACTACATATAAAATCCTATAGGAAAATGGGATGTAGGAATCCCCTGCTTTTGTGATGGGTGGGAAGTTTTAAGATTTAACAGGCCCTCGATACCATTGTATGTCCTTCATAAACAGGATCGTTTTCATTTTCTAAAGTGCCTAGTGTTAATCGCTTAATTTGATCAGCCTATGTGGCTGCATTAGGGTCAAAAGTTTTCTTACCTCTTTTGGGTAGTTAAAGGATTATTACCTTGGATGAGAAAGGCAGAATGCAAGAACAAAATTGTTTCTTGTGTATCTCCCAGACCTAGAAAAATCACACAGTAGGTGCTCAAGATGTTAGCATGAATGAGTGAATGAAATACATATTTTAAATGTTTGCTCTGTTAAGTTTGCTGAAATTTGTATTTAATCTTTAAGCATAATGTTTTAAAAAATACTTTTAATTAAAAGTTTATTATTGGGGCACCTGGCTGGCTCAGTCGGTGGAGCATGTGACTCTTGATCTCAGGATTGTAAATTCAAGCCCCCTGTTGGGGCTTTCAACAAGTCTCTTGCTTAAATGTCACTTTTTTTTTTTTTCATTTTGATGCCTTGACATTTATTTTGTCATCTTTATGAACTAAAACTGTTAAAATGATAAAATATTACCATGGTTGGCAAGAGCTCTGATTTTTAAAATGCCAGTTCAGTCCCCGTCTACATCTCTATATACCTGTTTCGGAAGCCCAGGGGCTCCAAAGATACTGTGTAGAATACTGGTAATGGAATTGCAGGATAAGCTAGCTGATGAATATCACCCAATGCTTAACAAAAGTACTTTAAAGAGCCAAAATATTTCTCCACAAACATCAAAACAATGAAACATGAAACTTATATAATCTTTGAAAGGTGATGGATGGAAAGAAAAGAAGGTAGAAAATTTTGGTATAATTTAGCACATTTAATCCTCCCAAATTAGAGTTCAGTCAGAAAATAGAAACCACCTTAGGTGTTTCAAAAGGAGAGAATTTGAAACTGGTGGAGAATAAAACCAAGGCAGGCCTTTTTGCAGGAAATTAACAAAGAGAGCTGGGAATCTAGACAGGGGCAGTATGAAGGGAGCTGGATCCAAGGAAAAGACAGCTGCTGCTGCTGAAGATGACTTCTGAGGCAGGGTGAGGCAGAAACCCAGGCTTCCCCCTCTAGTCCTCTAGTTCTGCCTACACTGGCAGAACTTTACTCAGAAGCAAGAGGGCAAGAGAGTTTGGGACAGCCTCTGCAATGCTGAGAAGGGTAGAGAAAAGGGAGAAAAAGGAATCTGAGACCAAACAACCAGCATAACCTCTGACCCTACCAGTAGAGAAAAGGAAGAGCGAAAGTATGCCAATTTGAGCCACAGTTCTTGATATTAGGTAATGGAACCATGTTTATGAAGTTCTAGGAAATGTGTAAGAAAATGTGTCCCAAATATTTAGCAAATTGCTCAAATATAAAAGCAACAGTGACTCCCAAATGTAAAAGCATCAGAGACTATTATTGCACTCATGAGACCTTGGAGAAAATAACAAAAGCTAACCAAGAGGTGAATGGAGAATGGTGATAAAAGCATTGTTGGTGACATGGAAGCAATTTACACATGCAACTACAGAATGATGGGAAATGTGGTACATGAATGTAGTAAAATGTGGCAAAATGAGATAATAAAATGGGAGATGGTGAGAAGATGGGAGGAAATATAAGTGCATTCATTTTTGTCTTAGGGGGTAAGTCCAAAGGTGACTGATCAAGAAATAAAAAGGTACTATGTACTAGTAGACCAGGTTCTCACTCTAGTTGAAGC